ATTAATCTTTGGGGACCAGCGTTCTCCCTAGTTAAGTAAATATACATGAGCTGCTGTGCAAGATACAAGCTCCCAGCACCTTCAGAAAAATCTGTTACTTCAGCTTCCCTCTTTCTTCCCATCCTCCTCCTCTCTCCCTCTCTAACATGCCGCCTGGGGGCAAATCTCACTCTGTCTCATCTGCTGCTTAATTTCACTGGAGCGGCCCTCAGTAATGAAGCGCCTTGATGTACATTTGCCAATTTCTGCCTCTGCCACTGCGGTATAATTGGGATGTGACTAAGCATGAATACCCAGCGCAGGGTTGGTTGACCTCTTGGCGACCCCGCGAATAGCGCTTTTGTCATAATGGAGGTATTATCTCACGTAATCTGGGAATGGAGAGGGATTGTCTGCAGGGTGCCAGGGATGGAAATGAATTGATATAACTCCCCGCTCCTGTGCACCACAGAGGAGAGAAAAAAAACCTGCAAGATACATTTTTTTACATGCTCATAATGAAGACATTTTCTTCTTATCTATTGCTGCTTTGTGTTTATTGGAGTAGGAGAGCAGCTTCTGGCAAAAGCAGGGGTGGGTTTTTTCGGAAGGGAGGGAGTTTTGATGTGGTGGCACTAGAGAGGATGTCTCTGTATGTGTGTATATATGTGTGTGTGTGTGTGTCAGTCTTTTCCCTGCGTGGGTGCACTGTGTACTCATGCACATGTTAGTGTGTATGTGTGTCTGTTAATGACCCTGTAAAATGACAAGCTGAGCTGGCAGTGAGAGTACAGCCGACGGTCAGAGAGAGAGAGAAGAAGAGGAGGTGGAGGAGGCAGGAGAGTTCAGATGGGGGGGAGGGGGGGGGGGGGGTTGGTTGCGAGGTCGGTGGTTCCACTGTGATTCACCATGCTGTCATCAGAGGGACGGGGGCCCCTGAGTGGCCCTCTCTATTCCCACCTGAGAGGCCTGCAAATGGAGGGGCCGCGCTGTCATTATTTACAGCCTGCAGCTCCTAACCTTGGATTCGGAGCTCATCACGGCGAAGAGAAAATCAGATAGGACTTGACGTGTACCCGAGCCAGTGACCTTGATAAGTGTGAGGTGCCTGCAGCAAGAGGTTAGGGAAGAAGAGCTTGCTTCTGTCGGCTTTTGCTGTGGATTTGCGCGTGCGTGTTTGTACTTGTTTGTGTATTTCAGCCAGGTGGGGAGGAAAAGTTGGTGGGGGGGGGGGGGACGGGACAGGACTGAGTGACTGAGCCACGACTCAAGTTGACACGTGGAAGGTCCGCTCATGGGCCAAGATACAGCAGGCATATGTGGCATTATTTCATTTGCTGCCACTAGGGCTGAAAAGATTAGTCGAGTAATTGATTAGTGCATTGATGATTGATAATTGCTTCATAGTTATTTGTCAAGCAAACATTGCAGCAACTACTAAACTAATCTATATAAACAGATGTCTGCATATGAATGTAGAATATGTGTGCAACAGGACAAGATTTTGGTATTGGAAGTGTTCTGGTTTGCGTTTGAGCAGGCTTTGGTTGCCTGCAGGTAAACAGTCCGTGTGGAGGGCAAAAGAATAAACAATATATTTATTGGTCAACTTGTACAATGAATAGCAGTTATATAAAACACAGCAAACATTTTTCCCATTGCTCTACCTCGCATTACCCCATCCCCATCAACTGTGTACAGACATAATACACATATATATTAAAAAAAAAAACTCAGTAAATAATAAATATAAGATAACTAAAGTAAAGGGTGTTTCTCAGATCATAACCAGCTCAGTGGCCTTGTGGTAGAGTGTCCGCCCTGAGACTGGGAGGTCGTGGGTTCGATCCCCGGCCGGGTCATACCAAAGACTATAAAAATGGGACCCATTGCCTCCCTGCTTGGCACTCAGCATCAGGGGTTGGAATTGGGGGGTTAGATCACCACATGATTCCCGAGCGCGGCACCGCTGCTGCTCACCGCTCCCTCAGGGGATGGGTCAAATGCGGAGAACAAATTTCACACATTCAGGTGTGTGACAATCAGTGGAACTTTACCTTTACCTTTACCTTATAATGCTACTCTACTCCCTCAGAGCCTGTTTGTGCTGAAGCAAGTTTCCAACATTACCATCATGTTTCAAGAAGTACATAAAAAGTCTCAGATATCATTAAATTATTTGGTTATACATAACAAAGGTTTAGTTGTACATAAAAATATATGTTATCTTCTCAATTGATATGTTTGACACCATTTCTTTAATCCACATTCTGATTCTTGACGGTTAGCTTTTTAATAGCTTCTGCATTCATGTGCAGATATCTCAGGGTTCCTGTGGATCCATGAAAAGTCTTAAAAGGCATTGAATTCATTCATCTAAAGGCCTTAACTGGTATTTGCATATCTATTTTTAAATGCCCGTAGAATTGCAACCAAATAAGATAGAGCAATAATTCTTTTTGCATATATAACCGGAGGAGTTACATTAACATATCACGCATTCATCGTGTCCCGGAGCGCTGTTTCCTTGCACTAATGGGTCTGTAGAAATCCAGAAAAAATGCACACAACAAAAACATCATAATCCAGACCGCGGGTATTCACGGCACTTCCTACGTTGGAATAAGCATCACCACGTAATGAGCATGAACTGATTTTCTTGCATGTATTTAGAAAAATGTGTTTAAAAAAACCTAATATCATTTTTTTGTGGTTTGTTGCACTTTTTTTTTTTAGCAATTTATTTCATTAGTATGGACATAAGTTCAAACATATTAAAAATTGTGATATAATGGTTGTATTGATGTATAGCATATTATTTCATTTTCATTTTCATGTTTATTTGATAGGGACAGATACATATACATAGAGAATTGCACAGCAATTAACCAATGCAATGTATCACAGCATTCGTAGCTACTGCTAATTTCCAATGCCCCTCCCTAGAAGGGCCTTTAAAAAAACATACAAAACAACATACACATACACAACAACAACAAATACACATATTTACATACAGATACACATCATATGCATATTGTATACCTACCCTACCTCCCATCCCACCCACCTACCCACCCCTATACATGACTACATAACTGATAGCTTTTAAAAATCAGTACTCACTACGGCATGTAAAAATGTTATGCTCTGGTGGATTTGCTCTATGGTAATGTTTCAAAACAGTCTTTCAAAAGTCTTAAAATTCTAAGCCATAAGAAGTGGGACTTTTTTATTAATCTTTTTTTTCTTTTAAATAATTAACCAAATACCTCTAGTTTAAACATCATGCAGGTCAGGTTAGTTAAACCAACAACACATATTTATTTCCGCCTGGAATGCACAGAGCAGAGCATCCACTGGCTGCTAGCTTGATGTCATTGAACCCTGGACGACATGAGGAAGTGCAAATCCAATGAAAATGGTCTATTTAACCAAGATTTGTGGCATGACTCAAACTGGTACAAGGCAATGCATACAAGGCTTGGTGAATTTCATACTTGGCAGAATGGCAAACAAGGCAGTGGAATTCCACATGCAGTTAGAAACACAAGAAAACTCACCAACAAACACTAGGTATTTCCCATTTCATGTCTCTGCCATAAGACATTTGAGAAAAATTGTCCCTAACCCTAAGTAATTGATATCAGTTCATGTTTTTTTCCTTCAGTTTTTGTAATTGTAAAATTGGTCTTGAATTACATTTCGAGTAGCCTTAGATATGTCTTAAAAAGTCTTAAATCTAACTTTCTGTAGGCTGTAGGAACCCTGTATCTGTTGTATCTGTGTTTGTAGTGCTTCAGGTTGCTAATTGGACTGAAAACAATAACCAGACCCAAAGAAGAAAGTCTTGACCAGGATATCTGCTGGCTCCAATGGAAACCTCAAAATATTTGTCGTTGCCCCCACAGGCTAAATTGTAGTCAGACTGGTAGCCAATGGGCTCTGAGATTGCTTCCATACAAGATGTCACTCTCTTCTGTTTAATATCTCTCTAAGTCGAGTACTTTTGGATTTTTGACTACTGGTCATACAAACCACGCAATTTGAAAATACCTTAGGCTGTGGGATTTTCTGATGGAATTTTTCATCAAAGAACAAAGGGAATGATGGAGAGTGACAATAATCATCATTATTTGCAGGCTGATTTGTTACCAGGTAAAAGCCATGAGCCTCACAGGTCAGCTATGTTTGTAAATTGGCAGCCTTGGTATGAAAACACACCTGACCCTTGATTAAAGTAATGCATTTTTTTCCTGGGTAATTTTTTCTCTCCAATTTTTTCCCCATCTGAACTAGTTACCCAGAGACCAGAAGGGGGAGTGCAAAATAACAGGGGAGAGCATCTCTGGATGGGTGATGAAAATGCATTTTTCTTCCCCCACCGAGATGCTATTTGGTCGTGTGAAATGATTAATTTCACACATATACAGGTCATCCCCAAAAGCAGCAACATCTCATTCACAAGGGGCCCCCGTCAGCAACAAAACAGGAGGCTGCAATAAAATGAGCAAACAGCAGCACGTACTGTACGTCAATAAATCTTTGGAGGTTAAACCTGAGCGCTGTAGAATTTGAGCAACCCCCACCCTCCTCCCCCTCTCTCATCAGGTAAAAGTCACTGAGTACATCAGGACTGTCGAGACCAAAAAATGGCCGACGAGCAGTTCAGGGAGTGTCCTGTGGTAGCAGGTACACACTCTCTCTCACACAAACAGTCTGTGTTTGCATAAGTAGGATGGAGCCTTGAATTATGGGGTTTGTGTAAATAAGGAGATGAGACTGTTTTTAGCACACATGGAAGAGGGAGTGCTTGGATGAGAATAGTGCCTCTATGTGGAGTGGAATTGGTCTTGGGTTGTTTACGACAGCTCGCAGCCCTCATATATCACAAGCAGTATGTTTGCTGTGAAGCTACAGTTTGTATGCCATCTGCCTTAGCTGAACTTGACCCTTCAAACAGACTTATATTTTGTAAACTGAGCTCACTGTAACTGCTGTTTTTATTTTCTCTTTCCTAGTGGATGATCCAGAAACCCCACAAGGTGGCTACTTTCTTCGGGTGCATCGGTACCGACCAATTCGGGGAGATCCTGAAGAAGAAGGCTGAAGAAGCCCACGTCGACGCGCATTACTATGAACAAAACGTGGAGCCAACTGGTACCTGTGCAGCCTGCATCACCGGGGACAATAGGTTAGCCAACTTTCAGTCACCCCTGACCAAGAAATGACCCTCTTGCTGAGTAGCTCAGATTCAAAATAGTCCTTCTGGTTCATTTTTACATCCTCAGGCAGGCAGTTGACTCCTCGGGGCTGGAAGTCATAACAGGGAATCATAGCTCAGCTCACACATCAAAAGGAAAAAGAACAGCTTGAGTGTGTTTTTCCAGGCCCCCACTCAGTCTCTGCCGCCCCAGTGGGTTGTCATCCATCTATAGGCTGACAGTAGCAATGTGTTAGAGATGGCTGGGCTATCCCAGCTCTCACCTGTCAGCCTTCTCGGCTGTAAAAGGGGCTTTAGCATCTCTGGCGACTCTCACGCTAGTATCATCATCAGCACGTCTGAGACAGCAGAGGTCAAAGCCTGCACACACGCGTGCACACAAATATCACTAACAGCGAAGGCTCCAGTTCATGATAGACCAGGTGTGGATCAATAACCTCCTTCTCTAAACACTCCCCTCCTCTGCAGCCCTTCATCTGCTGCTACTGGAGTTGTCAGTCAGTCAACGGCTGGACCTCGACCGCCCCGGGAGCCGGCCCCGCTGAATGGTCTTAGTGGGCTTGTTTGATGTGGCTCTGACACCTGAAAAGGTCAGGTGCCGTGCTCAGGGAGACGAGCTCGGTAATATTTCTTACAGGTGTTTAACAGACAGCTCAGGAGGCCAGTGGAAAGGTCGCCGGCAGGGCCAGATTGGAAGGGTGATGGCTTTGAAGGATTGGGAGCCGGTGTGTCACAGCCCCGAGGCTTTGATTAGTGCAAGTCTTACGGAAAAAAAAATCTACCTCCCCTAGTCAGACTGACCATTTCAGTTGCAGTCTGTGGGGATGCTGTATGTATCCATGAATATTTTCATTTTAGCCATTTGGAAATATGTTGTTTCAGTTATAATAATCTGTAATCAAAGGTTCAATCAGTCAGTCAGTCAGTCAGTGTGAACAGTTTTATGTTATTTGGGGATACATTTCCAGTACTTAGAATACTTTAAGTTAGAGTAAACGTTGTCGCTAGCCTGTGTAGTTGACTATCTGTACAAGAGGTTGAATGGTTCTCTGTAACTTTTTTCCCCCCTTAGTTTAATCTGTAAGTGCCAAGACACAATCCACGTTTTTAACCACCCGAAAAGCATGAGGTCAGGCGCTGGTTGCTACTCTTGTGCCAAATCTGTGCCAACCTTCAAGGACGTGGTGGCAGGTTGCGCCTGACCCTGCTAAGGAACCATAACTAGCACTGTATCATAGCCTTCTTACCAGAAATCCCAGAGTCGGAGTTGATCTTCTTCCAGTCGTTTTTCAATGTGTATTAGGTCTAAAATGTTGTCCGTGGGACAGATGTTAAGCTCTGGGTGGCCCTAAGGCACTTAAATGATCAGCTTCTCCTTATATTTATATTAGACAGGTAGTTATGGGACAAAAGGAAGACATCTACCAATTGTGATTGGCTGTTCCTTGTCACCAGAAAAATGGTGCAACTTTGTTTATGTCAAGATACAGCTGTCGCGGCCTGAAAAAATGGGTCTTAAGGGGTCTACCACACTTGCCTGCTTCGCTCTTGCTTTTGAGGTTGCCTTCCGCACGTCTACATTGAAAACAATAAATTTGAGGCCGCAAATAATCCAGCATGTGTACGGGCTTTATGAGTTGGATTCATGGATATATAAAGCGAACTGGATACTGCGTCAAAGGCGGGGCCCATTCATTACTACAAAAGGTATAAAACACCCAAATCTTCCATACTGTGGGACCAATAGAAGACGTGCACTAGAGACCTCCACCAGCTGAGCAGCTAACCTCTGGTTCAGCCCTCCACTAACTTGAATGGGGATAAAATTATTTAATCATGCAGCTCTTTTAGACTTTTAAAATGTCATCAGACCAAATCGATCGATCGATCGCCACTGGATCAAATCCTGAGAGTGACAAAGTCATTTTACAGGTATTGTGATGCTCAAAAAATTAACCCGCTGATTTACAGATATCCCTCTCCCAATATAAGTCTCTGGGAAAAGGCCCCATGGGATCATGTTACAGACCTGGACTTTGTAATTCCACAGTTTGGCCACCATGTCAAATTGGCTTCAGAGCCCGGTTTAATTAGGAATAGTTCAGTTTTGGCAACTTTATATTATATCCACTGGCAGATCTTGGTTGGAGGGTACACAGCCCGAGAAGACAAGCTGTAGGGTAACAAAGCCCTTGTCACCATAGTTACAAGGAAGTGTCATTATGGAAATTGATGCTTGATATTTCTTTGAGATTGGTAGATAGAACTTGACCTGAATTGCACTCTTTTTTATGTAGGAAACTGGTAATTGTTAAAATTGGAAAACTTTGTTCCAGTCTGAATTTGCCAATTCCTGGAGAGGCTGATCAGCGTTTGGTTTCCCTAGTAGCTTATTGTAGTGTTTCAGTTTTACCTTTTGAATGTAAGATATCATTAGATCCCACTGTTATTTGAGAGTGCCGTGCTTTGCTCACGTCTGTTGGACTTCCTCACTAATGACACTCATTTTGTCTGTCATGCTTGTTCTAACCTTTGAGTCCATTACTGCAGCTCAGGTCAAGTGCAGTCCTAATCCTGCTGTCATACCGCAGCCGTCGTCATCGCACTCTGATCAACTTAGCACACTGTTAGTCTTCTCTGTGATGCTAAACCAGTGTGAGCACTTTTTTTTTTTCTTTTTCGCCACGTGAGAACAGACCCCTTCCCGTAGCGGCACCCACCTGTCATATGGTCGCCTAACAGTTTTCCCCTAAGTAGCGATGATGGTTGCACTCATTTTGATGGCCGCTCATAAAGCGACAGCTCACGAGGACTGGCTAATGAGCTATGTTAAGATAATGCCACCTGCTTCACTTCCAGCTCCCACCGCTCACTACTCAGCTCAAGTGTTCATTTAGTAATGCATTTCTGTTGTTTTTCCACCTTTGTTAACAATGGACCACTTCTCCAGGTGATGTGATAATATGAATAATTTGTGGCTCATTGTTGGCCTTGAAAGTCCCTCTGCTTATTTTTATCTCTCCTTTTTTGTGGTGTTTGAGATAACCCCCCCCCCCCACACACACACACACACACACACACACACCTTTTTTTTAAAAGAAAGAAAAATAAAGACATCCAGATGACTTTATTTCACCTTGGTGCAGACATTCTAAGAAACCATTATCATCCTTTTATATCGTGAAAGAACAAAGGAAAGTCTGGGGCCCGAGTGTTTTTAGGGATGTTTTTGAGACAAAATTAAGATGGATGATAAGCGAGGCGGAAGATTTATGGGGTCTGTCTCGGCAGGTCCCTTGTTGCTAACCTGGCAGCGGCAAACTGCTACAAAAAGGAAAAACACCTGGACTTGGACAGCAACTGGGAGCTGGTGAAGAAAGCCAAGGTCTATTATATTGCGGTAAGTGAGACCCTCTACATTCAAAATGACTGTTCCCCAACTCTATTGCCAGAAGAGGACAAAATGTTAAGAGGCTTTATTCAGGGAATGCCTCAGCGCGCCTTCAGCATTGTCAATATATCCATTCATCCTTTGTCGAGTGAAATGAGCTATGTTACCTATTGAGACAATACAGCTCCATTCTCCCTATTTTCCCCTCGTCTTTGTGCGCGAAGCTGCAGCACAGTGTGAAATTGTTCTACATGTAATGCATTCATTCATTTCTTTTTTACGTGAAGACAAGCCAACAGGTGCTGTGAAAGTGTGAAAATTGATTATTCGAGTTCATTCGGCTTTACCCCCTCCTACACAATCTTCCCCCTACAGACAAAACACACACACACAGATTGAGGAGGACAGATGTGAGCTTAGACATTCACACACACTCAAGCTGCACCACTGAGGTAATGTCTTCACTTACAGCTTCTGGGGTAGGATGGCCTGCCATGCTCGTGTTTCACTGTTTGGGATTACATTTAATTCTGGCAGATCAACATTTTGTCTGATCTCCAGTCAAGACGATAGCCCTGAAATTGCACCACATTCCACGTCTTTAAGCAGTTCATTATCGGCATAAATCAGCATTTACAGCCATCAACATACTCCTTGGCATTCTGTCCCAAGTGAAATTCACAATGGTCCCCATGTTGCCCACAAGCCCCTCTAAACATGAGTGTACTGTAGTCCAATAATGACAGAGGTTTCATAATTAGCCGCCCAGTCGCAGAAACAAACAAACAAGAAGGAAAAAAAAAAGCTGTCAGTGCTCGTGCCAGAAAGCAGATCAGTCAGTCCATCCTCCAGAGTTTGTGTGGTCTCATTTTTAGCCTCTGCTTCGCATTAGCAAACACGGCACATCCTCTGCAAATTGGCAGTTGGGTTTTGCCCACATCCGACAGTCTTACGCGCAGGGAAAAGCTTCCGTGGGATTTGAGGGGGGAATAGAAGGGCCACAAATGGGTGTTTGTCAGTGCTCAGAATCTCAAACGTCGTTTCCAGCGTCCCTCCTGGGCCTCTTTGTCAAAACAGGGGGATCATTCGCTTTATTAGGGTCCCATTCGCACTTCCAAAGTACTTAGCCAGATACACTGCCACAGCTATTCCCACTTAATACTGTGTGGCGTGTCTAGACCGGTGTTCACTAAGGCCTCCTCTCTCCATTAACCTTGTCGAGAGCACTCAGATGTATTTACCCAATTTACAGCCACATTGTACATTTTCTCTCCCTCTCCCTCTCTCACTGTATCAACCTCTGCTGTGTATTAATGTGCTTTGTTGATTTTCATTAAACGACTGCTGGGCGGTATACGCAGTCTTGTACACTCTAATCTGTAAATGTAATTACCGAAAAGCGTGCATGTGTGTACGTTAGCATGTTATTTGCCTCGCACGTGCGTCCGTGTTCGCCGGAGCATGTGTGTTAAAGAGGTGATTGATGATTCCTGGCAGAGGCTCTCAAGGTGCCTGCTACTATGTGGTGTGATTGGATGAAAACAGAATTATTAGAGGGCTCTTGCAGCCAGTCTGGCTCATCCAGCAGCAGCGGCGGTGGCGGCGGCAGCAGCAGCAGGGCTGGTGGCAGACGTAGAGCAGGGAGGCAGCACTGCCATTTCTCACAAAGAGAGAGAATGTTGAACTCCTGCCAAATGTTTGGTGGCAGGCTGTTGCTAGGAAATCTGGGTCCTTAGGCAAATCATTGCACAAAGACCAATAACAAAGGCGTGAGGGGGAAGAAGGAATGGCTAAACGCATTTCAGGCAGAGGATATCTCTCTCTTTTTTTTTTTGCTGAATGCCATCGCTGCTGCAGTGATGTTTACAGTTATTTCTTTCCCCGACGATTGTAAACATCAGAAATGGAGGGTGATGTATTGTGTGAAAGGGAGATGAGTGACTCTAATTGGTGGGGGTGATGTGTGCGTGCTGGCCCAGTTAGCCCCCCCCCCCTTGCCTTCACTCCCTCTTTCCTTCTATCCCCATCCCCCTTGGCCCTCTATGGACACCCCCCTCCTCCTCCTCTCCTTTTGCTGTCTCCTTTGCCTCCCCCCCCCCGTCTCTTTCTCCAGTCTCTCAGACACACATACACTTGCTGCTAAACACACACAGCATGCACGCACACATTCTGCAGCATACCACTGGCTTGTTTTTCTTACCACTGAGCGCTTTGCCCTGTAATTTGATCTCCACTGCTTGATGCATCCTCCATGATGCCACTTTGAATTAACCTATGGCTCCACAGCTCTCCTTAGCCCCTGCTAATAAAATGGCCTCTCCTAACTTATGCCGTTTATATTCAGGGAAAAGAAAGAAGCACTCAGCCCACCTCACGGTCATGTACGGAGCAAGTAAGAAGAAGAGGGGAGACAAACAAGACAATTGACTGTGAAAAGGCCTGTTAATGACTGGGCACAGATGGTCAGAAATAACCCAAGGATAGACGGAGGAGACACTCGCCTCTGCCAACTGGCCTGATACACAAAACTCACCCAACGAGACACAAGCTGCGGTGCTGTTAGGTCGCAAACCTGATCACAGCTGTGGACGCTGTTCGTTTACGCCCTCAGCTAATGGCGCAATCCCCGTTAGCCTGCGAAAGGTTAGCCACGCCCGAGGAAAACAGCTAGCCCACCTTTCTTTTTCAAACAGCGCAGCAACTTGAGGCAGAATGCCTCACACTGTTAACACTGGCACACTGCATATAGCATTAATTGGCAGTTGTATTCTTGCCCTCACTGCAGGGGAAAGCTGAGTTCAGCTTCAGTCACCGTAGCATAATATGCAAGAAAAAGAGGCGAAGGGGAGGGCAAAAGCAGGGGAAAAAAAAAAAAGCGCAATACTGGCACCACAAGCAGCACGTCAGCCTGCTTACACTCCAGAGTGGCACACATACACACATATATACACACACATTGTTACTCCGCCCCACCAGCCCCTGCAATTTGCAGCCAAAAAAGCGAAGGGAGAGGTTTTTCCACACACACAACTAACTGACATCTCATCAGCCAGCCGAAGGGCTGATTAGCACAGAGGTGACTGCGGCTGTGTCTCTGTCCAACTCAGAGGACCACATTGTCCTCACGCTGACCTTGAGCTTCCTCTCCCTCTCTTCCTCTATCCCTTTCTGTCCTCTGCTCTCCTTCTACTCTCCCTCTCACCACTGCTCTTTATCTCCCAAATTCCTCCCTTCCTCTGTCTCCATCTTCCTCCCTCCTTCTCCTTTTCTGTGTTTTCTCTCTTTCCTCTCCACTCTGTACTGCACCACTCTGCACTGCCCCTGTCCTTCCACATAGCCAGGGAGGGATCACGAGGCAAAATGCAGGCAGTGGAGAGAAAGAGGGAGGGAGGGAGGGAGGGAGGAGAAGTGGAGGGGGGAGAAAAAAAACTGGCAGGCTCCCCCTTTGTCTGCAGGCGATCAGTTACAGTCTTGGTTGCCGATGAAATTTAATCCCCACCGCATTTACATGCCAAGTTTGACTTCTGGCAAGCCTTATTAAATAGATTTGTAAATCATTTCATCTTGATTAGAATCTGTTCTCAAGGGATCAACATTTTTTCGCCTTGCTTGTGTTTTGTTATGTGCACAATCTGTGCCCACTGGTGTTAAAATTTTGAAAGTCAACCCTTGGTGGTGTTATTTTTCCTGTGCGAATGAGTGTGAGCAGTAGGTTTAGGGGGACAAAGAGCGATGGGTGCCAAGTCCCGTCCGTCACCGGCCAAGCCACTGTGTCAGCATGTCTCCCATCTCTGGAGGTCATGTTGGTGGGCGAGCAACTGCTATGATGTGTATTCTCTTTATTAGGCTGACACCACAGTGTCTTTAGCATGGAACAATGTCATTTCAAATTGTGTCTAATCAGATGGCATTTTGTAATTGCCAGCAAGCATCTTATGAATATGAATTCATAATTGTTCAATTACAAGCCGACTGCATCATATTTATTGTTTTTTTTTTTTTTTTTTTTTTTTTTTTCCTCCCGCTGGCCTGGGCCAATTATAGGATTTAAATCTTGAGGCAATCAAGTGATAAGGGTGAGGCATTTAGTGTTTGCTGTCACTATATAATTCTCTCGAATGTTAAACATGCATCTGGGAGGGCTGTATTTGTCAGAAGGCTGTGCGTGGAGGTGCACCTGCCTAATTGAGTGGTAATGAGCTGTCAGGAGTGCGGGCTTGGTGATTGGCTCTTGGCGGGGCGTCCCGTGCCAGTGGGACGTATGGGCTGGCTCGGCCCTGCTGGAGGATCAGCCAGCTCCACAGCCCTGCAGGCCTGAGTGGGCGGAGCGTGGTAAATTAGGGTGGAGAGGCCAAACGATGCTGGCTGCGGAGACATCCTGTGGCTTTCACTTAAACGTCTGTGGGATTTATTTAGGTTGTTTACAATTATCCTTACTTCTGATTTATGGTTTTACTTCTTCATTTCAGAAGAGGAAGAAGATTTAAGATGTTTTGCTGAAGTGAAAGTAGCAATACTGCACTCTAAAAATACTCCGTCAGAAATAAAAGTCCCACATTTTATTTTTTACTTATGGCCACTGTGTTTATGTGATTATCACAGCCGTTTCTAGCTGGGATGTGTCTGAAATCACTTCATATTTACTACATTCTGCACTACATAAACCATTTTATTGTCTGAACTCTGAGTGTGAAATTCCAAAAAATGCAACAATGGTAGGAAGATGTAATGCCCATCATGCTAACTCCTTTTTGCTAATATCTAGGGTTGTCAAGAGATTAAAAAAAATAATCTAATTAATTACATGCTTTGTGATAATTTATCTAAATTAATCGCATATATCAATATTCGCCATGAGCAACATTTAAAAAAAATTCAAGTGGATTTTGGACACAATTGTGTTTCTCGATGGCGGCTTATAAATTGCGTCAGATGATGCAATCTGTAAAGCCTCGTTAACCCCCTGTCCTGCCAGTGAAATTGGCCTGCAGTCCATTGCAATCCATTTA